ATTACAATAAGTAATATTTTTATTTATTATTTACTTATTTATTCTTCCACGACGTTAAAAAGTTGATCGTGACTCATAACATAGCATATAAATGTTGTATGAATAAGACTACTTGTACACAAAAATGTAGACATGTCAACGAGCCGAGCCAAAACTCAAAACTCAGACTCGGCAAAATAGGTCCGAGCTTTTTTGGGCTCGAGTTGAGTTGAACAAAAACTTGGCCAAAAATTTTGGGCTCGATCCGAGCTTTCAGCTTGAGCCTTTACGAGCCAAGTCGGGCCGACTAGATTTTTTTTTTTTAATTTAAAATTTCTTTTCGTGACTGCTACCTGCAAAACGCAGGCAGCTACGACACAAGCTGCTAAAATTATTATTTTTTTTTTATTTTTTTCCTAAAAAACAGGCTAGGCCAGCCTCGAGCCGACACCCCCAAAATGGGGCTCGGTGCAATCGAGCCCCGACTCAGGCTCGGGCTTTTTCCGTGCCAACCCGAGCAGACTAGCTTTTTTGCCATCCCTAACGAAATGCCGAAATGTGTATACTTTGGTAACATTTTTTGTATAAAAAAATCTAACTATTAATGAGAAAATGTGTTTTTAAAATTAATGTGTTCATATCTGTCAACACGCATGAGTGTAAATCCAAGTGTACATATGGCATGGCTCATGATGTACACACACATTTATTATACAATATATAAATATATATATTTATTAGGCAGGGACGAGTGTGCCGATGGGGGTTGAATGCGGGGGTTGGTAGTGGGTGGAGACTAGGGGTTAGAGAATTAAGATTTATTACATGTATTTAATGTTTTGTGAACGTACAAATTTTTTTTATTTCTCTGATGATGCATTGGAATAAAAAATAGTTTGGTGAACAAATGAAACTCAACATTAAAACGTAATTGTTTGGAGTGTAAATCAGAACAAATTTGGATTAAATTATACGTTTCTTGCTGTAGTTATTAAGAATCCAATTGCTCTATATCTTAACTGTATGTAGACTCAATCAACTTGATCGAATCAGACAAATGGTTAATATAGTCGACACCAAATTAATCAAATAGCAACATATGTTGTCCCCTTGTCAACTCAACTTCTTGTAGGAGTGTACCTATCGAATCCAAGTAAATTCCTTTTAGTATTCCTTTTTATGAGTCAGATGACTACAAGTTTTTTCTTCACATGATCGTAGTTCACCCCTCGACTATTTGTCTTGTGGAGATAGGGGATTGATAAGCTCACCAACCAATCTTTCTTTCTATCTCGAATTCTTGATTTTTGGTTCCAGAGGAGCAAAGGAAGCAGGGATGTTATAGGTCGTTGGGCGACCGAAAGGTTTCCACGAGTAAATTTTGGGAGGATCATCATAGACATTTTTATTTGAGGAAGAGGCTTCACACTACTCCATGGGGTTATACAAAAGTTTCCCAAAATCTTGATATCTATGCCGTTTCTTTGGGTGGAATCAGTTTTCAATTTCTGGTTATGGTGCGGACAAAGTCCCATAGGGTGGAACATAAAATTGTGTGTTCTAAAACGGTCAAGTTAAATCGAAGAGTACTTAAAGTCCAATATGAAGAAAAAGAAGCTAACACTCACTAGTTTAATTAAAAAGGCACGAGATTCAACATTTTGAGGCAAAAAATTCATGATCCCAAAGCAATGTGTAACATTTCATATAAGAAATCCAAAGATACACAGGCAGAAAACCTTTCAATATGAAAACAAAGAGAAAACACCTGTACTGAAGAAGTAAATGATGAACAGAAATCATCAAATAAATTGTGCTCAAAGTGAAAACATAAAAAAAAAATTCACTCAAATCAATAATATTCTGTGTCAAAAACCAATGTACCAGATTTCTGAAACTTCTCAGAATAGAATTGCTATGAGGCATACTAATATGAATACCAAAACCACTGCACCAATCCAACAAGCCCAAGTCCTCGCGTTCTTCAAACGTTTAGCGCGATCAAGTTCTTTCGTCCCTCCACTGATATACGATCCTGCATTCACCACATTCTGCTCGATATTATTCATCTGTTCACCCTGTGTCTCGACCAACACGGCCATGTCAAGAAACAATTGGTGGAGCTCAACCAAGCTTCTCTGTATTTCTTTCACAGATTCATTCCTTTCTTGATTTTCCATCACTAAATCTTCTTTACCCTCGAAAATTTGCACAGGTTCACCCCCTGAAAGCATCTTTTCGATCATTTCCTCACTCGGTTTCTCCCCGGTTACACTATAATATTTCCTCCTAAGCCCTTCTTTGTGCTCACTAACAATCTGTTCCCTAAGGGACTGAAAATCATTCATCAGATCTTTCAATTTAACTCTAAGACCATGAGTCACCGAAATTCTTGTCCGATCAACAGGACTTCCTTCTTTATATGTGGATACACTACGATTAACCACATTGGATTTATCGAGCAGTTCCAATCTTGTTTTGATGATTCTCGCCTTTCTAAGAAGAGTGACCATGTCAGAATTAGTCCGGTCCCTCAGAGATCGAAGAATTTTATAACTTTGTGCGGATTTCACCTCTTCATTGAGATCTTGAAGGTTGAGAAGCAGATTGGTGATCTCTTCCATGTCAGCCTTGATTGCATACACCTCTTCAAAGAACTTCGAGAGATTCATTTCATCCGTTGGGTTGAGTTTTCCCATTTCAATATCGTCTACTCCTGCTTCAAGGTCCTTCATGGCCTGTTTCTTGAGATCAACATAACTTAAGAATGATTTTGTCATTAAATCATTCATTTTCGTACCGTTCTGAGAAAACCCACAAAAGAAAAACGCTCAATCTCTAATGAGATAACAAAAAACTCGTAAAAGAACAGATAAATCTACATTTTCTCATAAATAAAACAACTCATGAAAGATGAAAATACCCAAGAACTGCTATTCTTGCTTACGAGTAACAATATAACAAATCAAGAGAAAATTGTGAAGGAATCATTAGATTGTCGAACTTTATACCTATTATACAATTTCCCGAAATGAGTAAGAAAATTCAGACCAAGATTGCATAGCAAACATACCACAGATTAAAATCAAAGTATAATTGGGCTACGGTGATTCTTGAACTCTGTTTTATTGAATATTCCAGTATCTTCAAGTAAGAATCTGTACAAAAAGAACAAATAATTTCAACATAATTCAGAAAATAGAAAATTAAAAATTCAAAGAAGATTAAAAGAAACAGACTACATATAATATATGATTCGTGTCTAAGAACATGTATAAATTAAAAACAAAATTCTGATGAAAATAAAAAACGGAAAAAAGAATTAGAAGCAAAATTCTGATGAAAATGAAAAAAGGAAAGAAGAATTAGAAGGGGACCTTGAAGAATTTTGGGGAATTTCAGAGTGAATGAGGAAGAGTGTACCAAGAATTGAAGACAAAGTTTAAAGGAATTTTTTCCACCTCTGCGGGGGTGGGGTGGGGTGTGGGTGGCGCTCCGGTGAATACTTTTGGATTTCAAATTTAAACGTGAGGAGTAAAGGGTTTTCTAATATAGCCGTTGTAATAAAGGGGTCAAATTGATTACTGATAAGGACAAATTGCACATGAGGTCTCTAACCTTTGAAGGTTTTGATTATGGGGTCCCAAATCTTTGATTTCTAGCACTCAGAGTCCAAAGCCTTTCAAACGTCTGCATCGATGGTCCTTTTTGGAAAACGTCAAACTGACCGTTAGAAGGTCAAATTCTGAAGAAAAAAATAACGATTTTACCCTTACTCTAATTTAATCTAATAAAGGTAATTACATTTGGGTTTTTAAAACTTCGAAGGTTGTGATGTTTAAATGTTTTTGAATAGTAATCTCATTTTAATCACATATTTTTTAATAAAATATTATTACATGCAAATTCAAAAAAAAAATCTTATTTTATAACCATACATTTCTCATCAATACACTATTCAAAAATGTAATAAAGCGAAACAAAAAGAAACAATAAAGAATAAAAATTGAAACACCCCAACCCAATAAAACTAGGGGAAAATTCTGTGATTATCGAGGAAAATACCACTTTCCTTTGAGCCCTTGATTCATCCTGTCATCCCATCTATTATCTACCCGACTACCCCCTCGACCATTTTTTCTCAGCTCATGCAACTAAGCTTATGTTTGGCCTCCATTCTTTCAAAAATTCATTTTCTACCACACATTCTCTTATAAAATAATATTACACGTAAATTGATTTTTTTTTTCTTATTTTATAATCACACATTTAAAAAAACAAAATAACTATTTCAGAACTTATTTTTTCCCCAAATTTTCATTAAAATGGAGCTCAAATAATGGCTAAATTTATCCTCATCCGATTTCTTTTGAGTAAGTCAAGTGGGGTGTATAGAACCCAAATAAAAAGATGAGGCTTTAATGGCAAATTTTTTTTCCCCACAACCAGTATCGATGGTGGCCATGATAGACCCATATTTCAAAATCAACTTTCCTATATCATCAAATCTCCCATTTTACGTCCATATATGGGTCCATGTGCAAATATTTCGCAGCTATAGAACTTCAGGTGTTAAAAATTAAAGGATCGAGATCTCAAATGNGGGTCCTTGTGCAAATATTTCGAAGATTTAGAACTTCAGGTGTTAAAAATTAAAGGTTCGAGATCTCAAATGCAATTTACCCTTATTTGTTTTGAATCAAATTAAAGCTCTTGAGATAAAATGGTCATTTTACTTAAACTTTCATCTTTTAACGTCAATGTGACATTTTCTATCTAAAAAGGATCTTTTTGTTATGAAAAGAGAGAAAAAGAGAAGTCAATAGACTTGTTGTATGTTATAATGAGAACCAAAACCCTATATTTATAGGAAATGAATATGGATACATATAGTAATTATATCTAGGGCTGCAGGGGTATAAGTGTCATTCACACCAAACCCTAATTTACTTTCCTTTTACAACACTCCCCCTTGAATGACACATTACAAAATATCTGTCTTGTTAAAACCTTGTTTGATAAAAACTCA